GTTTAGTGAACTTAGCACAGTGGGGGCAGGAATATACGCGATGAAGCTCCCCCAAACAAATGAAACAAAGGTCATGGCTGTTGTTAGAAGGGAGTTTAGTGGGGCATCGGCGACACGCCTTAAAAAATGAAGTGCGGCCCATAATAACACCTTCTCTATTGGGGGTGGGGGAGGTTGACAGAAAAGATAATAAAAATCCTTTAAAAAAATCTTTAAAAAGATGAAGAGAAACGGTGATGAGGCACAAAGAGAAAAGAGAGAAAAAATGAAGGGAAAAACTCAGCTGAGGCAACTTGAAGAGCGATCGCTGGAGAGGTGTGAACGTGAGGGTGGTCGAAGAAGAACTGAGTGGGAGGCGGCTCTCTCCTCCACTCCAGGTATGCACAGCGTGTGACTGCTCCCCAGGGCGGGAAGAGAGCCCACCAAAAAAGACTTCTGAGGCAAGTTCTGGAACATTCTCCGATCGAGGTTGTGAGCAGGCGCCCATCCCATATGTGGGGCTGCACAGAGACCACGAAGAAGATTGAACAGTTCTTAAATATAACATTTCCAATATGCTAAATCCAAAGTTCCAAAATACAAAATAGGTTGGCTTTAGGTGTAGCTTCAGCTCTCATTATATTAATTAATTAAGAGAGAAATACCTGGAACCAGTTTAACAAGCTAAAGGGGTTCCTTACGATGTGATAAACTGCTACATGGCTATGATCAATAGCACTTGTGGCTACTGCATTTGAAACAGCAACCAGCTGCAAAGAGAGCCTTTTAACAGTTGTTTGGAAGAGGGTGTTGCTTTCCCTGTTCCAGTAAGGACAAGTTGCCAAATTCCCTTTCCAGCGTAACTATTACAACTACTGGAACCCTGCCACCAGAGCCTGATTAATAGGTAGGTGACTGCCTGGGGTTGAAGGGCTCAGAGGGTGCCTGTCAAGGGCTATCTATTCAAATATCCACTCAACAGATGAAATGAACTGTTGGAACTAAAGAACTAAGGCTAACCCTAATTTTGGAAGCATTCCTACACAGATCTACTCAGAAGCAAGTCCCATTTCAATTCAGAGGGCTTTACTGCTAGGAAATTGTTCTTAGGAGTGCAGCCTCTATCACCTTCTTGTAAACACTAGTTTATACTAGTCCATTCAATTTGGGTGTAATGGTTGAATTTCTGGATGTCAGTACATAACCTCAAAAAGCTTCTAGATACAATTAGAGGTAACAAATGTGGTTTATATGGTATAAATAAATACAGATTTACAGATCATAGAGGGCAAATTGATCACTTTATATGATGGGATAAATCATGTGCATGAACTGTGCATCAAAGCTGTGAAATGAGTTACAAATTCAATAAAAAGGTATTAAAAATGACCAAATGAGGGTGTGTGTGGGCTGCTTCTTGCTGGGGTGCTGTATAGTCTAAGGCTGGACCTGCTCTGTCTCCCATTGTATCTGGTCACCTTGGCGCATCTGTCTCTATTCTGCTTGCAACTGCACATCTACATTTTTGGCAAACGCTTGTTAAGGCCAAAAGAAACAATACTTTGTTTACAAGTAACAACCACGGAAAAAGCTGAAGATAAATTCTAAAACAAAATGAACTTACCCACTGATTAGCAAACTGGGTCATGTGACAGAAAGTCCCCAAAAAAACAAACAATGGGGGGAAATGATGAAAATAATAATTATAAAATTATACAAGAAATAGCTGTCTAAACTGATGACTAAATGAAGTTTATTGTTTAAAAATCAACAGGAAGCATGAAACAAAATTAATCAAAAATGCTATAAAAAGATAAATGCACATAAGTATGACAGTTCTGCACAATGGTAGTGTAGGTATCTGAGACTGCAATGTCTTAAAATCAGGGGTCCACAAATTTTTGACATGGCTCAGAGGCCTACTGTTGTTTCTTGTAGCTAGGGTGGCCAGAAGTGTGGGGTGTTTTACATCTTGTTCCACAGAAGCAAGTAAATGTGTTGCTTTTATGCACTCTGTTCAGTAAAGGTGTTTTTTTTAAAAAACGGAAGAAGTTGATGCTTCCCTGTACAGCATGCAGCCGCATATCATTTTGAAAGAGAAACTCTCTGCCTTTCTGTTTCTGGTAGCTTTAAAACGATTTGACACTTTTAAGCCAGAGTAAGCTTTCCAATGCTGGCTGCTAAAGGTAAGGTAAGTTTCTGGTCACCACTAGTGGATGTGCATTTGTGGATCCCTGCTTAAACCATTTCCCACCTTGGCAGCAACTAGTAATAAAACCACCACCATAATTGATATTTCTATACACTAGCACAATACAATGCAGAATTAATGTGGCATAACATTCTAGTGACTATGACTTCCAATCCCAGGTGGTTCTGGACAGAAGAGAAATCTTTCACTGACAATGGAAGCCAAGGAAAGGCGGGCAGGCAGGCATGTTACAAACCTGCCAGCAAGTGCAAGCTGTTTCTACTTGAATGCTGAAGAGCATTTTTGGGATATGAAACAGAAGAAAGATGATCTAATGAAAAAAATCAGTTAAAGAAAGGAGACAGCACCTTTGTTTAGTTCTCGTAATTAAAGCACTGTACTGCATATCAGGTTCCCACAATCCTTAATTTCACAATACATGAAATTGGATGACTGTTCTAAACAAAGCAAAAATACAATAGGTGTACCGTCTGCCTCTTCTGATTATTGTGTTGTAATTATTTCTTGCCGCCAGGAAACCAGCAGCTCACCTCTTTGCTATCCCACAACCCATTGTGGTCTGTGTTTTAAATACTTGTATATTCACAATAAACAGGAAAAAAATGTGTTGCCGATCAATGGATAATGCTTACAGACCTTCATGGTCATTATTTTGGCAGTCTTAACAGCTAACCTGTAAGGTAGAACAGTCTCATCAGGGCTGGCTCTTTCACTAGGCCAACTAGGGCGACAGCCTAGGGCGCAGATCTCCCAGGGGCGCAGCGAGGCCCTTGCTGCTGCCGCCCGCCCACCCCCTGTTACTCAACCAGTAAAAACTGATTTTGGACTTCACTGCTGCGCCCTGTGCACAAGAACCGGTTGTGTATTTGAACACACTCCCTGTCGGGGGGGGGGGGTAGACTTACCAAACTCCAGGTTGGGGCTTGGAGAACTCCCGGAATTACAACAGTTCCCCAGATTACATCAATCACTTGTTTATTTGTTTCAAATATATGTGCCACCCCTCCTGGAGAAAAGAGCTGTTTTGGAAGGTGGACTGCACAGCATGATTCCCCACTAAGGTCAACTCACACTGACTCAGTTTAGGGGGGAGGGGGCGCCACAAAGCTAGCCTCGCCTAGTACGCAAAAAAACCTCGAGCCGGCCCTGAGTCTCATCATCCCTACATTGCTGCCTGGGGATGGGCATTTCCTCACCCCCAGCCTGTGTGCTGTGGGGGACTTCTGACAAACCACCACCTTAGCTGGCTAGCTGTGTCTGGTGGTAGCTGGGTGAGGTGTGGGGGTTGAACAGTGTGGCCACATTGACTTCTAACCCCCTCATGTGAAAAGAGGTTCTTAAGAGAGGCCAGAAGTTTCAATAAGAACTTGCCATTCTTGCTTTAAATAGACTGGGGAGAAGGCAGTTGACTGACCCCACTGCCTGGTCCATGTGGCGGGGTACAACAGCCAAAGAGAGGAGGGAAGAGAGTGCCTACAAACGATCTCCCCATGTGAGGCCACGAGGATGGTACTTTGTGAAAAAAGAGGTGGAGTCCAAAGGTCCAATCCCTTACATTTGCTGGGGTGAGGGTGGAGACGCTGAGAGATGTGTGCTATTACAGCGGTGTAACTCATATACACATAGGGATCATTTTGTAGAAATAAAGCTGCAGGAGCTCATTAGCATAACTCATTGGCATAACTTATTTCCATATGCCACACCCTCTGACATCACTGGAAGTGTGTCAGAAGGTGGACTCTTTGCATTGCTACCTATGGGGGGGGAGATGCAGATCTGCCCTCACAGAGAGTTTCTGCCTGAATAAGCCTGGGTCTTAAAGGTGCCACTGGACACTTTGCATTGCTACCTTGGGGGGGGGGCATGCAGATCTGGCTTCATAGAGAGCTTCTGCCTGAATAAGCCTGGGTCTTAAAGGTGCCACTGGGGGCCTCCGAGCGTTGGTGCCTTGGGGGGGGGGCATGCAGATCTGGCTTCATAGAGAGCTTCTGCCTGAATAAGCCTGGGTCTTAAAGGTGCCACTGGGGGCCTCCGAAGGCCTTCTACAGACCCTGCACTCCTGCACAGGGCCTGTAGAAGGCAGGGGGGTGGCTGGGGGTGGCTCCAAAAGCTTTCTACAGGCCCTGCACTCCAGCACAGAGCCTGTAGACGGCGGGTGGTGGTGGAGGGGGGCCTCCGAAGGCCTTCTACAGGCCCTGCACTCCAGCACAGGGCTTGTAGAAGGCGGGGGGGGGGGCGCGGCGGGCCACGGGAAGGCTCCGCAGGGAACTTACCTGCCTGCTGCTTTCTCCTCGTGTCCCGACTGAGAGCAGGGGTGGGGGGGGAGCAGGGGGCGGGGCTTATGTGCCCGCCCCCTGGGCTCCTTACTGGCGGAGCGGTGCTCCGGCATGCTCCTGCTCAACCCGAGGCCTGTATACACATATTGGTACTAAGCTGCCAAACTTCATTTCTATGTTAGCAGTGGAGTTAAACGGGACAGGCAACTGAGAGGGCAGGTGGAGAATTAACAGCCAAAACTATGCTAGATCATCTAGATGTTTGTTGTTGTTTACAGGACAGGGGGGCGGGGAGGAGATAAAGGACATGTTAGAATAATGGGGTGCTCCAGTTCCTGGCCAATCCCTTTTTAGTTCTTTGTCCTATGAAAGAAAAAAGTTGAATGAAACAAACAGTTCAATCACAATTCTCTCTTGCCCCTTTCAGCCTGCAATAGCCAACCCAGAGCATTGAATGGAAATTTGGTATTTTTTGTGTGTGCTGCTGTTAATCCTTTTCAGTATACATTTAGGGCACTGACACTTTCACATACCTCCTGCCCTCCATCCAGAATACATAGTTTAGCTGTTTGCTTCTTTGCATCAACCAACACATTGAACATCGTGCATACAGAAGAGGGAATGCGCAAGTCTGTCGATTTGCTTGTCTTTTGCAGCTTGAGTTCAAATGCAATTCTTGTTCTATTAATAAAACATAAATCATAGCAGAAATAACTATCACCATTCTAAATAACTGAAGCATAAAAGCAAAACCCATACCCAACGTGTTAATTTAAAACCTATTTATTTCAAGCATGTGAAAATCAAGCTAGAAATGTTTAGCAACACACTGCTTTAAGCAGTAGAATTGTCATATGCATGTGCCTTAATAAAACTTTCCATGGAGGTGACTGGATAATCATCTCAAGGTTAGGTACTAATCTAACTAAATAACTGCATGCCAAAACATCACACACATAAAACACATAATATGTAGAATGCTTTCTGACAGATCAGCTTCCTTAACAATTTTTTTAAACAGCTAAAACCAGAATATAATGTTGTCTATGTCACTTATTCAGGCACTTTTGACATTAATAAAATGCTGTTAGAGCTTCAGTAAGACTGACAGGGTTTTTTTTGGTAACAAAACCAAAAGAAGAAAAAGAATTGTTCCTTCATTTTTACAGCCAAGACCTCTCATACAAGTATAATTCAAGAGGAAATGATATTAGAAGTTTTGCCTGAAATAACGGAGGATCAGTATGTTTTTACTAATTTAGAGAAATTCATATACTGCCTTTCCAGAGAACTACTTGAGGCGGCTCACAAGGCAAAACAATACTACAATAAAATAATGATCAAGGTTAAAGCCAACAGCAGAGAAAATTCACTAGGAGACATAAAAGCAGCATGGAAACAATATTCAACAGCATTAAATGAAACAACTCTCAGGCTAGCAGCTGGTCATAAAACACACTAAAAAAGATAGAACCCTTTTGTAAAAAGGCCGGGAAAACAGTAGTGCTTTGGCACGATGCCTTAAAGAAAGTGAAGCAGGTGCCAGGTGAGCCTCAAGGGGGAGGGCACCCTAAAGGCAAGACATAACACCACTGTAAAAGCCCTGTCTCTAGTTGCCACCTGCCTTACCTCTGCAGGCTATGGCACAGAGAGCAGTGTTTGAGAAGAGGATGTAAACTGGCAGGCTGAACAGTACAGGAAGAGACAGAACTTCAAAAAACCAGGCCCAAGCTATTTAGGGCCTTAATGGTAACCTCCAGTACTCTGAATTATGTCCGGGAATGGATACAGATAAGCAGTCAGTACAGGTCTGTCAGCAGGGGGGGTGAAACGATCCCTGTATCCAGCCTGCAACAATAGCCTGGCTGCACAATATAGACCAGTTGAAGCAGATTTGTTACAGCCTCGCTCTCTGACCCTTCTCCCTGTGGCCATTTTAATGACTCCATGGGATGGCAAGCTATAAGTGTAGAAAACCCGGTGATATGGTAGCAAGATGAAAATCACCTGGTCTGAATGGTGAGTGCTTTCCAGTGGCTCAGCCTATTTTATGGAGAGATTTGAAGTGGCCTTCATGTGATGGCTAGAACCCGGGCCTTGCTTCTTAGTGTGAGAATCCTGTTCTAACGTACACATCTACACTATGAAACCATTAGATTACAGATCTACCCAAACGGCCTTCTTGCTTGTTTGCTTAGTTAGGTGGGCTTTGATCCAACCCTATCTCAACAAGTCACGATAATGTAAAATTAGCAAAAACTGTCCAAAACCCTGAAAACAGAAATAAAATTATAAGGCTGGCTGAAGTCATTCATATCAAACATCACTTCAAGTGAGGCACAACCAGGGGTCATTTCCTGCCGAAGCGTGACAGAGCTGCGCTCCAGCAGAAAGGAGCCTGGGGCACCCCCTCGCTGCCATTCCTGGCCCGCCAAGACGTGCCAGGGAAGCCCTGCAGAGCCCCCTGCCACCTGGGGGGATTTAAATGCCTTTATTTCCCTTCCCCAGATGGGGAAGGAAGAGAAAGGCATTCCACACATGCCTGGGTTCCCTGCCCAATCCTCTCTAGGTGCCCCGCAGCCATGGGGCACCTGGAGAAAATCGGGCAGGGAACGCAGGCATGCCTGCCTCCCTGCCCTCCCCTCCTCCAGCCAGCCCACCATGGCGAGCTGGCTGGACAAAGGAAGGGGAGGCGGGCAGACATGCCCCCCCCTTTCCCCTGAGCCTCTTCACTTCTGTGGAGAGACTTGGGGGAAGGGGGGGATTTAAATGCCTGGGTTCTGTGCCCGATGTTCTCTAGGTGCCCTGCAGCCACGGGGCACCTGAAGAACATCGGGCCGCAGCGGGCTGGCTGAACAAGGGAAGGGGAGGCGGGCAGACATGCCCCCCCCTTTCCCCTGAGCCTCTCCAGTTTTGTGGAGAAACTCAAGGAAGGGGAGGATTTAAATGCCTTGCATGCCTGTCCTTTGTCAGGCTGTGTGGCATATGCAAAGAGCTATGCAAATGAGCTCCAGCACCTCTTTTTCTAGGAAAGGACCCGTGGGCACAACCAAGAACTTTGGTCAGGGTAGGCCATGTTTGGGTTGCAGACTCTAAGGTTGGCAGCTGATAAGTCAAACCAGTCTGTCCATAAGTGTTTAAAAGGACAGACTTTTCTTGATTACTATCTCAGAAGCTATGCATATGAATTGACAGATGTGTGGAGACCACTGCTGAATATTTCCTGTGGAGGCTATCTCCACAAATAAAGCCACGTATTTGTACCTATTTGCTCTGTCTGATTGTAACCACAACTTAAGTTAACACTGATACAGACCCAGAAGGCTTTTCTGCAAGACAGATGGTTATGAATCATTGCCTCATCAACTGAAGTAATTTAAAGGAACCTTCATGAGGTGGAAGACATAAATATAGGCAGGGATCATTTAGTGGTAAAAGAGGTGTAGGATCTCATTAGCATAACTTATTTGCATATGCCACACCCCCTGACATCACCGGAAGTGTGTCAGAAGGCAACACCCACCACTTAGGCTCCACCCCAAAAATCTCCAGGTATTTCTCAACTCAGATTCAAACCTGGGTCTCCCAAATCCTCGTCTGGAACACTAACCACTACACAACACTTCATGGGGCAGTGGCTGTTGAGCAGTAGCAAGCAGCTGGGCCTGTATGAGTTATGCAAGTTGCATGGTGTCAAGTTATCCAGTGGGTGCTGTCAGGCCTGACATGCTCTCTCCCCCTACATTTTACTGACAGAAACAAATGCTTGAAGGCTGGAAATACTGCTGTGGCTGACAAACTATGGCCACTGAGAGAATTCCTTTCATATAGCTACAGGTGCCGCTTCTATTATGGGTGAGGGTTGACCCAATGTATTTTCAGCTGCCATCGATGATGGAGGGCAGTTGGCCAGGTACTTCCCTACTGGTCCGAATCTTCCACAGCTAACAATGTTTTCTCATGAAGCTGTTTTTGGCTGACAAAATCAAAGTATAAATCAATCATAATAAATCTATTTAATTCTTGACATGGCCAAATTTGTGGATAGTTGGATCCATAAACAGAGACAGAGGTTTCTACAAAAACTCTGAAATTAAAAACATTGTTGTTGTTGTTGTTGTTGTTAGCCATTCAGTCATGTTCGAATTGCCAAAATATTTTGATCTTGTCAGCCAAAAACATTTTAATGAGAAAACATTCTTAACTGAGGAAGATCTGGGCCGTATCAGGGACTGTCTCCATAGGGTCTCCATAGGGTATAATGATCCTCCCTAGTTGCAGGGGTGGGTGGTGGGTGGCAGGCTCCCATTCAATGAAGGGAGTGTGCCACCACTGCGGCGTGACTCCAGAGAGGGGGGATTTAAACTTTAAACCCCCTCAGTCTTTGGAGTCGCTCTGCAGAGGCGGCACGTTCCTTTCAGATGTTTCTGCCTGGCAGCAGGGCCAGCGCTGGCCCTGCTGTCATGCAGAAGCTTCTGCTGGGTTCCCTTTCTGCCCCCCCCTTCCCTTCACCCTGCTTGGAGGTGAGGCGATGGGAAAGGAGGGGGGGGGGGAGGAATGGATCCCAGGCGCTTCTGCATGACAGCGGGGCCAGCGCTGGCCCTTCTGTCAGGCAGAAGCAGCCCTGGATTTCCTTTCTCCGCCCCCCCCCTTTCCCTTCGCCCCGCTTGGAGGTGAGGCGAAGGGAAAGGAGGGGGAGAGGTGTTTATTTGTTACTCCCAGAACACCGTTCCTGCTCAAAATGACCCCTGAATATAGGAATGAAGACCTAAAAAGGTAGGGATGCCAGTCTCCAGGTATGACCTGGGGATCCCCTGGAATTGCAGCTCATCTCCAGACTACAGATATCAGTTCCTCTGGAAAAAATGGTTGCTTTGAAGGGTGGACTCTACAGCATTGTACCCCACTGAGGTCCCTGTCCTCCCCAGGCTCTATCCCCAAATCTCCAGGAGTTTCCCAACCTGGATCTGGCAACTCTGCCCCTGCATCCCCTGCTGGTAGCCAGGGGGGACCTGGCAACACTAGGTGATCATTATGATAACCCTATTCAGTAGTATAAAAGAAAGAATAGTACCACTTTCTGAATGTTGATTTCCACATATCTCATAATATCATCAACATTTATTATGATCAAGAGATCAGTCATCAACAATTTAACAGCACAGTTTACATACAAATGTAAAATTAATACACAGAGATTAAAATTCATAGACTCATTGTAAGAACACATTTCAACAAAATGCAGGGTTACCTCTTGACACAGGCTTCAATCATATCACTGGCCATAAGTTTAAGTCTCTGCTCTAAGTGGTGGGAAAATTCTGGTTCCGGCCAATGAAGATCAAAGACAAACATCTGTAGTGCATCAAGTTTCCAAAACAGATCTTCCGATGTTGCTGATCCATTACTGTGAAATTATTTAAAAACTGCTTGTAATATTCAAATAAAGAGCAATAAATAAAACAGAACTCCCTCCCCTCTTACCCCAGTTACAATTCTCAGTACTTCAGGTCTGAAGTCACAATCATCATGCTTTGACTATTGGACAGTCCTACCTTGCTTTTAGCCGCTGAACAAAGGAAGCACCATTTTGAATCTTTATTGAGTTTGCATAGTTCTGCCACTATAACTTGCCCACTGTGGATGTCCTCATCTAAAACTTATATAAATACCACCCATTCTCACAGTAGAAGAATTTGGAGGAGGAGGAGGAAGACGACAACGACAACTCATTCACTAGGAGTCTCAGAGCGACTTACAATCTCCTTCCCTTCCTCTCTCCACAATGTACACCCTGTGAGGTAGGTGGGGCTGAGAGAGCTCTGAGAGAACTGCTCTTGAGAGAACTGTGACTGACCCAAAGTCAGTCTGGCTGCATGTGGAGGAGTGGGGAATCAAACTTGGTTCTCCAGATTAGAGCCTGCCACTCTTAACCACAACACCAAACTGGCTCTTAGTTCCTTGAAGACTATGCACATTTCTTCTCCAGCATTGAAGTACATATCCATCTAGATTTCTTTTGTTAAAATATCAGCTTCAACATCTCTGTTCCTACCTCGCCCACAGAATCACAGAGTTGGAAGGAGCCATACAGGTCACCTAGTCTAACCTCCTGCTCCATGCAGGATCAGCCTAAAGCAACCCTGACAAGTGTTTGTCCAGCTGATGCTTGAAGACTGCAAGTGAGGGGAAGCTTACCACCTCTCTGGCAGCTGATTCCACTGATGAACTACTCTTACTGTAAAAATGTTTCCTAATATCTCCCCAGTACCTTTCTCCGTGTAATTTAAATCCATTATTGAGAGTCCTATCATCTGTTGCCAACAGGAACTCCTCCCTGCCCTCCTCTAAAGGATAGCCTTTCAAATACTTAAAGAGAGCAATCGTCCCCCCTTAACTTCCCTCCTTGTTGCTGTCTTCTGCACCTGCTCTATTCCGTCCACATCCTTGTGGAAGTGAGGCCTCCAGAACTGCACACAGTACTCCAGGTATGGCCTGACCAATGTAGTATACAACAGGACTATGACATCTTGTGATTACGATGTTATGCCTGTGTTGATAACACTCAGAGGATGCGCACCAGAAAAATGGGGGGGGGGGAAGTGAGGCTATTTCCTCCGGAGGAAATAGACCCGCAGTTGCATGATCACACCTCCCTTTGAAGCTACGGGCACAGCCCGTCAGTGTGTGATCAGACGCAACTGCGGGTGAACCTCTTTTTTTTTTGGTACCGTTTGTTTCCCATGCGCTTAAACAAGGAATCAATGAACCGCACTGAGGGCTCCCTATTGTATGGCGAGGGAAAAAGAATGTGATTTCTGACACTTTCTCCTTGAGATACATGACAGCTGTCACTGTTCCTTCAAGAGTTTAATCATAATAGATCCAGATCCTGGTATGTAACCTAGAATCATCTGATTAGAGAGACTTGTAGCAGAACATATATATTTTATAATTGCACTTTTTGTATATGAAGCCATATTAAGCAAAAGTATTATTAAAAAGCCTCTGTAGATGGAATTAGGATATAATAGAAATGGAATGCGTAAGCTGCAAGGACGCCGAGAGCACGTTTAATGTGATTCATACCCCTTATCAGCAAGCCCTCCATATGCAGGTCAGAAAGGAACCCAATGTTCTCTAAGGTTCCCAGTGTCCTGGGGTCCAGATAAGCAAATGCAACCACTGACATAACTGACCAGTATAAGGAGATACCAACAGTAAGGCTTAAAGTCAAATGATGCTTGTATGATGGCAACTGCTTGATATCAATTAGAAATTCTTCAATGTGTAAACTATATGTGATGTCATTTGGGGTTTAAGACCTTCTGCCCTTCCTGGTTATGGCAGAATACAGTTTTGGAATTGCTGATGTGCTAAGGTGCTCAGCCCTGTATTCCCTGTTTTGAATTCATTAAACAGATATTCATCTAACTCGCTGGACTCCAACTGTGTAATTCCAATTCGGCCAAGGGGTCACACAGGGCATGGATTTGTGCATCACTATGGAGTTTGTTATGATGCACACTGCGAAGGGGGAAAAAACCAACGGCACAGAGTCAGTATGGCCTGATCAGACCATCCCGATGGCATGAAAGCGTGCTGGAGCAATCAGACAGGGGAAAGTCTGTCCATGGCCCATAGCAACCCGTTTACTACTGGATTTTTCCCAATGTCTTTTAACTCTGCTTCTGTGGTGGAGCAGAATGGGTTACTGACAGCTGCGGGGCGCTTCCCAGATGTTGTTGTCTGATTGGGCCCTTTAAATCCACCTGGCATTCATGCCTATGTAGGGTCTAATTGTGCGTATGATCGTAGCCCAGGACCACATTGGCCTTTTTTGCTGCTGCATCACACTGACTACTCATACTTAGCTTACAGTCCACCCGTACCCCAAGTTCTTGTTCACACACACTGCTACTCAGAAGTGTGCCCCACATCCAGTATGCGTGCTTCTCATTTTTGATTCCCAGATTGAGAACTCTGATTTATCCTTGTTGAATTGCACCTTGTTCACATCACACCCACACCCTTTGTAGCTAGGGCTCAGTGCTATTATCTTCAAAATTAAATTGAGGATTTTCACATAAAATAATGTATTTCAGAAGCACCTTGTGAGACAAGAGAGAGAGAGAGAGAGACAGACAGACAGACAGACAGACTGGTCCAAGTTTGTTCCATGGGCTTCATGGCATAGGGAGGATTTTAACCTAGGTCTCTCCTATCCAGTGTTTTTTTTTTTTTTTTTAAGGTGCTGGTACTCATAAGACTGCACTGATTTCTACCAATTCCAATCTCTGGATTTGGGAGAACCCACCACCACCACGGTTCTGCTACTCAGTACTGATGAGTACCACCACAAAAAAAGCCCTGCCCCATCCTAGTCCAACACTCTGATTCTTGCAGATTCACTTATTGTTTGGATAAGCTTTCATATTGATTCACAAGCACATGCCTGACTGAGTGACTTGAAACTGGAGGTATATGCAGCTTCCATTAACTGCAAAGGCTGTTCCATGTAAACAAGTCAGCACTGGATGTTGTAGTCATCAAGAAATGTATATATTGTGTGGACTCAGTCCCAAATTCCCACTTGCTGTAAACTAACTCCAGAACTGATCAAATTACCCCAAGGAAAGCACACAGGATTGTTTCTCGCCTCCAGAGTTTCATGGATATCTTTCACAAATGTCAGAGCAGTCTTTTCGGATCAGGTCCACAGTACATCCAGTCCAGCATCCTGTTTCACACAACGGCCAACCAGATGCCACGGGATGGCCTAGAAGCAGGAACTAGGGACCAAGGCCTCTCCCTGTCATTGTTGTTCCCCCCCCCCTCCCAACAACTGATATTCAGAGGGTTACTGTCTCTGAATAAGCCAATCTCTCTCTTTTTCTGGGGAGCTGATATGAGTAGCAGATCTGCTGTCCTGCAGGAGTTCCCCATTGCCTCCATTTTGTGCTATACCGGTATATTTGTAAATAAAGCAAATATTGCTGAAACACTGTAAGTCTCTTGTTCCTCCAAAGGGAACCAATCCAGGCAAAGAGCTACCCCTGGAACTTCTCACCACTCAGAAAAATGGAGCGTGTATAACAGCTTCTTGAAACATTTAAGAAATACAGCAATGAATCTCTCTTCTGTGTATATGATACAAAGTCAATATTCCCATTGGTTCTTTCAGGTGAGAGGGGGGGAAAAGAACAAACTCAGCAGAACACAAAAAAGGAAAGCTATGGCAACATGAAGAAGTAATATGCTCCTAATAGTGCAATTAAGCAGAAATTTGCCTTTAAATGGATTGGATCCAGCAGTAATTTCTGCCTGCAGAAGGGACTCCTATCAGTAGAATGAGACTTTCTTACGCACTGCAGCCTCAAATGTTCCTCCAAATCTTACTCCTGGGAGACAGGGGACACCCAGGAACACCATTAGGAGTTGGAGGTCTGCTGCGGGAAATGGAGAATCTGTGAAATTTGCTCCCCACTTCCATTAGTGGAAAACTATTGTTGCATTCTACCCCCTACCTTCAACTGTGTGAGTAAAATCTTTCTGAGATGGGAGTTTTAATATGATAGTACTGTAATTGTTTGTGGAAGCTGTACATAATTTGCGATGAAGCCCGATTTCTTTCAAAATAAAACAGATCATAAATGTGACTCACACTTTTTGATAACTTTTAACCCTTTCCTGTTTCCTCAAAAGCTTGTCCATTCATAATGCAGAACAATGAACGAAGGGTAAAGCAATGTGCCCTACAGAGCCTCAGAAAAGGCAGTTTATCCTGACCTCCCTCCCAGGAGCTCAGGGTGGTATACATGGTTCTCTCTTCCTCCATTTAGCCTCTCCTGTGGTAGGGTTAGGCTGAGAGAGTATGACTGACCCAAAGTCACTCAGTGAGTTACAGGGATGAGCGGGGACTTGAACCCAGATTTCCTCCCAGTCCTAGTCTGAATTACTAAGCACTAATACCACACTGACTTCGCTTAACTCATATGGTTCCCATGCAGACACCATTCCTAACACAGGCTATTTAATGCATTATTATTGAGGAAGCAGGGGCTACAAAAGATACTCATTTTAACCCTTTTATCCAGTGCTTCATGAAACACTCACTCGTTCTTCAAAATCTCCTCTCCACACATGGCCAGTGCCTTGTCTTGTAAGCATGAACTCCCTAAAAGGTAAAGGTTCCCTTGCTTGAAAGCCAGTCGAATCCGACTCTAGGGTTGCGGTGCTCATCTCCGTTTCAAAGCCGAAGAGCCAGCGTTGTCCAAAGACGTTTCCGCGGTCATGTGGCCGTCATGACTAAACATCAAGGCGCACAGAACACTGTTACCTTCCCACCGAAGTGGTACCTATTTATCTACTTGCAATTTCTTGCTTTCGAACTGCTAGGTTGGCAGG